GCCCACCACGGGTATCGAAACCCGGTTTCTAGCGTTGTAAGTCCGCAGACATACCGCTGTGCCACTGGGGTTCTATTACTCTGCAAAAAGCTACACAAAGGGCTATCTGTGCTCTGCCCACCACGGGTATCGAAACCCGGTTTCTAGCGTTGTAAGTCCGCAGACACACCGCTGTGCCACTGGGGGCTATTACTCTGCAAAAAACTACATAATGGGCTATCCGTTCACTTCCCACCTCAGATATCGAAACCCGATTTTTTTAACGTTATAAATCCTCAGAATTACCGCTGAGTCGCCGTTGATCTTTGGATAAATTTCACTTGTTAGTTACTAGATGAGCTTAATAATTCATTACATAAAAAATAAACGAGCTTATAATTACTCTTTCACAAACGAGTGGCTCGTCAAGTGATTTTATTTGCCAATCACTAAGCGATTTTGCCACAAAAAAAAAAGTCCCACTGCCTTTAATTAGTAAAAAAAGTTAGATTCGTTAGACACTTATATTTCAGGCTATAAATTATATAGTAAGTGTTAGTTTTGACTATTTTTTATTAGAAATATTCATGAATAATGCTATCAAGATATTGCAGAATAACCTGTAGTAACGGCTTCGTCCTTAAATAAGGTGTATGGCTTTCTTTCTGTATTTGCCATAAGACAATAGTATTAGGATTAATGTATTTTTTAAACACACCATTCTTTTATGGATCCCTATAGAGTTATGACAAATATAATGATTATAATCACGCTCGTCATCAAAAGGCGTTCGATCATAAAACATTTGAGTTCTTTACAAAAGATGGCATTAATATTTGTAAGAGTAAATCTTGAAATGGTTGATACGTGAATTTCTACGATTCGTGTTATATTCAGTTTTCTCCCCCTTTAAATATTAATATTTATCCACCACCTTTATAGTTGTAGAATTGCCCCTCAGTAGCACAGCGGTATGTCTGTGGACTTACAACGCTAGAATCCAGGTTCCGATACCCGTGGTGGGCAGAGCACAGATAGCCCATTGTGTAGCTTTGTGCTTAATTTCAAACAAACAAACAAGTTATAGAATTTGTTTGTCTGTTTGAAGTTAACAACAAAATTACACAGTGAGCTATTTGTGCTCTGCCCACCACGGGTCTCTAAACCCTCGTTTATCTTGCAGTCATTTACAAAGCTAAACATTTCAGTTCATTATAACTGAATTTGCAGAGTTAATATTCGACTATCTGCCACGACAATAACTAGTTTACTTGTCTTAGCACAGAGCTATGGAACGGACTATGTGTACTCTGTCCGCCGAGAGGAATCGAACCCCGGATTTTAGCGTTAGAAGTCTGTAAACTTGTACTAGATATCATGTAGTTGTTTCTTTCTCATCCAAACTATCTTGAAACAATTATATGCAATGTTTGTTGGTGCATTTATGATACAATATTTTAGTCAAATCAATACATAAGCCAAAAATTCAATTATATCAAATTGTGTTTTTTACAGCTAGCCATCCCCTCCAGTGGCACAGCGATATATCTGCGGACTTACAACGCTAGAAACCGGGCATTCTTTGTCCTGCAAGGATACTGACAGGTAACAATATTATTCTTTGTCCTGCAAGGATACTGACAGGAAACAGAAACATTCTTTGTCCTGCAAGGATACTGACAGGAAACAATATTGTTCTTTGTCCTGCAAGGATACTGACGGGAAACAATATCATTATTTGTACTGTAAGGATGCTGACAGGAAACAATATCATTCTTTGTGCTGCAAGAATACTGAAGGGACACTGCTCTTTTAACATATCCATTGGATATAATAATATTTGTGTTCCAAAATTCTGTATAACTTGTTCGTGCGTTAAATAACTTTTCAATGAAAGTGGCATATAATTATTTCAATTTCTGTTTCCCGTCAACATCCTTGCAGGACAAAAAGAAAATTACATCATTTTCATCATGATCATTTCTCCATTGATCACATCCCCTGGCCTTAGAGAGGGCCTTACCCTCTGTTGGCCTGCGATTTCATATTGGCCTGGAATGGCTTGGTGTTGGGCGAAAGGCATCGTCAGCACTGGATATAGCCGATATAATGTGGTTGCCATACTGTTATACATTCTTCTTTACTTTCCCTCAAATACTTAAAATTTAATATTATAAAATATCCTCAAAAGGATGCTTTTCAAATATTCCCATGAATAAATAAATCGTAGATGATTTTACTTTATCTCTTTCACCTAGGAAATCCTGTTGAAATAAAAACAAATTTCAAAAACATACTAGATTAATATTTACCTTGAAAACAGTCGAAACATACTGGTTTGTTTGTAATTAAGTACAAAGCTACAAAATGGGCTCTCTGTGCTCTGCCCACCACGGGTATCGAAACCCGGATTCTAGCGTTGTAAGTCCGCAGACATACCGCTGTGCCACTGAAGGGCGAAACATAGTGGTTTGTTTGTAATTAAGTACAAAGCTACACAATAGGCTCTCTGTGCTCTGCCCACCACGGGTATCGAAACCCGGATTCTAGCGTTGTAAGTCCGCAGACATACCGCTGTGCCACTGAGGGGCGAAACATAGTGGTTTGTTTGTTTGTAATTAAGTACAAAGCTACAAAATGGGCTCTCTGTGCTCTGCCCACCACGGGTATCGAAACCTGGATTCTAGCGTTGTAAGTCTGCAGACATACCGCTGTGCCACTGGGGGGGGGGGCGAAACATAGTGGAATAAGCCTTTAAAATAAAACCTTTCAACCTTTACGTGTTCTTCTAATATCAAACACTGTTTGAGGAAAGTAATACATTGAAATATTTATATACGTACATAGATTGTCTTACGTATATCCATTCTATTAACTAATAAGAATTGCGTTAATAGCAAGAATAAGAAAAATTATACATTTATTTTCATATCAAAATTAACTGCATTATCTTTAACATCATAAGTTTTAATACACATGTATATATCAACAAAAACGCAATGCATTAAATACATTAAGGCCGGTCGTGGTTTTTTGATTAGCATGCCCGACTGAGACTCTAAGGGATCGCGGCTCGTTGCTGCAAAATCTGGCTCTGCATTATTATAGTAACTCAAGAGTTGGCGGTGGGTGCTGCTAACCAGATTCTTTTCCTGTAGTCTACAAAATTGTAGATGACTAGCACAGATAAGCCTTCTGTAGTTTTACGCGAAAGTCCGAAATGAGCAGAAACAAACACAATGAAAAAATGAAGCTTTTGGAACTTGTATACTTTGATAAATCTTTACATTGGTGTAGTTCAAGACGTTATAAATAACAAATGAATAATTAATAAATAATAATAAAAAATATTCTAGCTCTACCTTTGTGTTCCTTACATTATCTAAAATATAACAAAAGTAACTAATCTATCTTAAATTTAATTTGATCCTTCATAATCTTTCTTCTCTTGTTGTTGTAAATTATTTTACTAGGCCCGGCATGGCCAGGTGGTTAGGGCACTCGACTCGCAATCTGAAGGTCGCGGGTTCGAATCCT